CATCCTCCTCACTCTGTGTACCCGCACCACCCCCATCCTTCCCCACGGCTCCCCACACGCCTCCAACACCGCCATACTTTCCATTCCTTCCCCGATCACCTCCGTGAGCGCGCGGGACAACCCCACGCTTACGGCCTACCTTCACTGCTCCACTCCGTCGCGCCATTGCCGAGGCCGCAACCTGCAACAAAATTCTCTACACACACACACCACACCAAACAGCTCAAATTTTCACCGTACCTCCCGTTTCCATCTTCCTTCTTCCTGCCGGTCGCGTCGTCCGTCCACGGCCTCCTTCCCTCTCCCTTCTCGCTCCCCTCCGCCCCGACTCTCTCCTCTCTCCTTCTGGAACTTTCCTCTTCTTCTTCGTCTCCGCTGTCCTCCTTCCCTCCGTTTCTCTTTTTCTCTTTTTCCTTTTCTTTCTTTTTTTTTTCTTTTCTCCTTTTTCCTTCTCCCTTTCCCGACCTTCTTTTATACTCTGCCAGCCTACCCCAAAACGACGTCGTTTTCCTACATCCCAAAACGACGTCGTTTTTCTTTCTTTCAAAACGACGTCGTTTTTCCCCTCTCTAAAACGACGTCGTTTTTATTATTATTATTATTTTTTTTTTCTACTTTCTAGTCCTTACATGGTAAATCTTAAAATTTTTGTTGGTGATGTAGGCAAATAAAAATGAGGCGAGGATAACCCCCTATGAACAGATCTTCTCAAATAGAATCATTACGAAAAGATGTTGATCATATTTACAATATACACTATGAGGCAGAGAACCTTTAATAATGGAAAAGATTGTTATTTTAAGTTTTTCCGTTCTTTTAAGCAATTCTTCATAACGGCTCCAGGCAACTATTGTGATAAGTATTTGAGTATATAAAAATAAAAAATATATGTTGGTAAGAGTAGAATAATCTATTTCAAAAAAAATTTATTGAATTAGTTAGATTTATATAAACAACTATCATTTTATAAATGTATGTTTCTCTTTGGACCAAAACCCAAGTCCGCACGAGAGTAGGATTCACAGAAATCCTTGTGGAGCAGGATTTCTTCTCCTTGCAGGAAAAGTCCCACATCTTCGGAAATTTATCCACACGAGCCTTGTGTGCGCTACTATGTGCATATGTGCGTGGGCACGCCATCCTGTTGCATGCGCACACGTAGATCTTGTTGCTCGTGTTGCCGCATGTTGTGGACACCTATCCCACAAGATATTTGGCCTCCACAAGATTCCTACTTGTTGTGGAAATGCTTACCTTTCAGTATCACATCATAGTATCTTCTATAACTATTTTTACTAAGCAGTAAATAGTTTCTAACGAAAAATATTTTTGCTTAGTAATTATTTTAATACCACTTTCAAACTCAAAATAGAAACTATAGTCGCTCCAAATGAACCATAATTTTGGTTTTGATTTTCACTTGGGATGCACAGAAGATATTTTTGAATTTTAATACTTATCCTTCTTAATTAGTTAGGTCAAGAAAATAGGAAGATGGTTGCCATGGCTTGACACTGTCGTTGGACAAGAAAATGCATGTAGTGATGGGGAGAGCAATTTTAGAGATATTAACAACAAGATCGAAGGTGAGGTTAAGAGGGAAGAATAAAACTAAGACTTGCAAAGTTTGTCATAAGAGGAAAAGGTAAGAAATGATGGGACAGAGAAGAGAAGAGATTAGTCTAAACAATGACATACTGAGAGAAGGTAGGGTTACTGGGAGAGAGAATGCAAATGCGAGACTATAGATTATTTTCTCATCATTGAGTTCTGAGTTGTCAGCACGACATCCACGTAAATACCATTTGCTAACATTTTAATAGTCATCAGCATAAACACATTAGGAGTTGAATTATCATGCCAATAACCATGTTGAGAGTTTTTATTAATAGGAACTACCGATGTGTTAAATTAGCTACGAGTTCATGTAAACACAACTAAAAAATTTTAAAGAATATTTAAATACAAAAAAAGTATGAAGAGTTTGATCATATATATTCGATGAACTTAAAAATTAATTACTCAAAATCCTTTATATACATTCTAATAAATTAAATTAGATTTTAAAATAAATTTACTTATTGAAATATGATATGTTAGAACTTGGGATCTAATTTTTTTATAATTAACTAGTTAATTAATAATAATAAAACAATAATTTGAATTCAAGTATAGCAGGAAATTTGACGCATTATAGAGCTAGGATAATGACCATTAACTGCTCTAATGCATATATATTAGTTTTAATTAGTTAATATAAAATATATATACATATATATACATATATATATATATAGTTTCAGAAGGAAGATGAGGTGGTAAAGACAAGCTTTTGAATAAATTAGTCGATGGCAGCAAAGGTTGACATCCTGCAAAAGTACTTTGATTAAAATACTGCACATATATATATATATATATAATTCTAATTAATTATATATAGTATTCTATATGATTTCTGAATCTAATTTAAAAAAAAAAATTAAATTCAACTTGTTGATGTTGATTGGTTTTTTTATATAATATTTAATAATCATGCATATTTCTTAAATAAAATTAATAAATCTCAATTTTTATTAGTTAAATTTATAATATTTTTATTTAATAATTTTTTAATTAGATAATTGATACTTTTTTAAAGAGATTATATTATTGAGTCAGATTGTATATTTTTATATATTTTAATTAATTAATTAAATTATATTTAGTATATATATATATTTTTATTTAAAAAAAATTTCGTATCTTCGTTAAAATTATATCATAATCACGTAAAAACTCACAAAATATGTCTTTAAGATATGATGTTTATATCATGATCTTCACTCCTCGTATCCTTGATGTCACCACTAAGTATTATTAAATCAAAATAAAAACTCTAAAGACCTAATTCGATCTTGACAACGTAATCGAATTAATATGGACTCTATTTTTATTTTTAATCTTCTTATCATAATTAAGTATTATTAAATCAAAAACTTTACATTCTATATATCTTGAACTTAAAAAAAAATAAATAAATAAATAAAGTTTTTAAAGTAAGTGGCATGAATCTTGTAATTATTTATTCTACATGATTATATATATGTACATACATATATATATATATATATAGATTAAGCAATGTTTTAAATAAATCAATTTATTTGAAAGGTACTCATTTAATTAAAATTTGAAATAAATTTCTGACCACATCCCAACTAAAGTCAGCACCCATTGTTCTCCTCCATATATGAAGTTATTAGAAGCTATATCTATAGACATACATATAAAACTAATATGGGTAACATATATAAAATAATAATATTATTAATTCTCTGGTGAAATTTACAAAGGAGAAATGATGATGATACAGAAATTTTGAATTCCAACCCACTTTAGAGAATTTCATATTCTTCCTACCATTATAATACCTTTTTTTTTTTTTGTTGAATATGCACCAAAAACAAACCCTCCATATTCAAACTGTAACTCCTGTAGTTAGGATACCTAATCACTACTACCTTTCTACTCATATCTTCTGTGTATCACAAACAAAGTCAACTTTGACTTTCTCTGATCCCTCTGCCCCACTAATGATTAAATATTGTTTGGTAAATGAAAAACTTCCATGAGAAAATCATCTTCTGTAGGCTTGAACATCTCATGATAGAAATAGTTAATGTTCATCACCTGTTCTTGACCTGTATTATCAAAGATGTTGTCCATGTTTCCTTCCAGTCCCAGCTCATGTTCTAAGTACTGTAACCAATCTCTATTGTGATCAGCTTGATGACGACGACGATGATAATCAGCTGCAAACTCCATTTCTGCACCTGTAAATATCTCAACTTCTCGATTTTCTTCTGGTATTATTGGTTCACGAGGATCTGGGTTAGGAGGGAATGATCCAAACTCATCTAAAATTTTCCAAAAACTATCATCAGCATCATCATGAGTAACTTCAAATGGGATATCTAGCAGACTACAATCAATCTGATCACCTGATCCAGCAGGGATAATCATCTCCGGCTTGTTCACTTCCTCTAATATTGCTTCATCAATAGGTGTTTCTGTAAATTCCATTAGTGAAATCAGAGCCTGGTTTTCGTCACCATCATCATAAGCATTATTATTGTTGTTCTCTTCTGGGTTTGGGAGGAGAACGACGTCGTCTTGACCAAAGTTGGCGACATTGGAGGATGACAGAGAAGAGTTGACCGGTTCGTTGACTTCCTTTATTACCATGCTGTTTTCCTCCATTGATGGCATGGTGTTGGGACTGGAGGTGCATGTGCTGGATGAAGAAGAAGAAGAAGATGAAGTTGAGGGGAATTTTGTTGACTCTTTTTTCTGATGTTTGGATTCCGAGAAAACTCTCTTCTTCAGATAAGTGTTCCATATGTTTTTGATCTCGTTGTCTGTTCTTCCAGGTAAACATGAAGCTATTCTGGACCACCTGATCAGTATCATTCAATCCCATTATATATGTATCAAATTTTGTAAAACACATAATTATACATAACGATCAATTTCATTACAATCCCATATTATATATACATATGTGTGTCATATCTTGTAAACATATAATTATACAAGCACAATCATAAGTGTATTAATTAAAAGAGACTTACTTGTTTCCCCAAGTTTCATGAAAGCCTGATCACAGTATCCTCTTCTTCCCTAGTGAACTTCCCTCGCTTTACGTCTGGCCGGAGATAATTAATCCATCGCAGCCTGCAACTCTTCCCGCATCGCATCAACCCTAAGCATAGTTTCAAAAAATATTTCATCAACCCATGTTTCTTAGTTACATAATTTAATCATTAAATATGGTAATTAACTCGTGTAATACAAATAATTTACGATTTATAATTAATAACGTGTGTTATGATTCGTAATTAAAAAAAAATTAACACATCGTGTCGGTCATCGGAACGATGTGTCCGTCATCGGAACAAATTAATGATAAAATTAATTGCTTATGTATATATTAAGTCATTCATTAATTGTGATCAGATTTTTTACTTAGAAAAGAAAATAACAAAGAAGGAAAGACTTTTAATGGAGAAAGGAGAGACATAATGGCAAATTTGATGTTGACCATGTATCAAATTTTGATTTGCCTTTCACTTTTTTTTAGGTACAAAGACAATTCCTAACCTATTAGATTTAATATAATTAATCAATTAATTTTAATTAATTAATTAATTAATTAGATTAATTTCCACCATGAAAATGTAAGCAAACTGACCAAATGTTTAGTAAGAGGTGGTTTTCTTCCCCCGCTACTAGTCATTTCATAAAGTTTCTTTGTCTAGTTCTAATGCACTAAGATGGTGTTTATATAGGCCCAGTTATGTGTACTTATCTCCACTAATTAAAAGTAAAAATCAAAAAATCAAAAATTTTAATTTAAAATTGAATTAAGGAAGAAAAATGAACCTGGGTTTGTGTTTCTGAATACATGGGAGAAATTATGTATGCATATATATATGTGTGTGTGTGTGTGTGTGTGTGTGTGTGTGTGTGTGTGTATGTATAGGTGGTGCATTCAATGTACGGGGCGAATCTCTATATGTATATATATATATGTTTTCTAGTGTAAGAAATAGACAAAAGTTGGATAAAAATGCAATGAGCATTAATTTTTCCAAGCCTCCAGATTCCTGTTTCTAGTCATTCAAATTCTATACTTAATTATAAGTAACTTATGGTCAAAGTGGACGAGTTCCTCTTGGTCTTATTCAATCACCAAACGACAATACAGAAACAATTTTTCCGTTTGGAGAGAAGGAAAATCGACACTCAGAAAATCACCCAGAAAAGACAAAAGCTGAAAGAAAGAAAATCAACAAATACACATTAATGCATATGATGGTTGAAGCATAATGATAATAGTTATAATCTATGAACAGCATTCATGAAGACTTGACAGAGAGAAAATTAGGATAAAAAGAGATTAAAAATGTATATGTATATATATGTATATGTACCAGCTTCTTTAGGGAGAGCCCTCCAATTTCCATGGCCATGTTTCTGGATAAAAGTGATGAGTCTCAGGTCCTCGGCAGGACTCCATGGACCTTTCTTCACTTGACTCTTATCACAGCATGGAGATCTTCCTTTTCCCATCTTCCACTACTCAATTGAAAACCAGAAGAAGAAGAAGAAGAAGAAGAAGCTCTCGTTTTCTCTCTCTCACTTATCCATACATGCACATATAGATATATGGGTATCCATGTATATGTGTATGTATATTTGTGTCACCACCTTTGGGCTCTATATATAGACCTCATTATAAAAACGCACCACAAGAGTCATGCCAGCAATAAATAGAAGGGGATCCATCCAGTTTTGCTTCATATCCCATTTTTCCATTTACATAAAATTCATTAATTATTTAATGCCCCTCCCTAAAGAAATTATTATATATACAACTTCCTTCTGTGGTTATCCCTTTTTTGTTTTTAATTCAATTTCCTTTTACTCTTCTCATTTTTATTGGAGGGTGAGCTTAGTTAAATGCTGACTTAATTATTTCCATTATATATACATATATATATATATATTGGAAATACATATATATATATATATATAAATGAGTAATGCCAAACATGTCTTAAATATTTTGTGGGTATTATGACACCAAAATTTTGGAATGCTTTTATCATTAATTGCAGTCTATGGGATGCAATTTTATCCATTTTGAAATGAAGTGGAAAATTGGATATCTTGCCAAGAACTTTAATTCTTGGTGGGGGATGAGATTTTACCAAATTCATTTTGTTCATAACTTATTCATAAATTGTTTTTTTTTCCCTAAATTTATCCTTTTAATATCTCTTTCTCTTTTATCTTCCTCCATATTTTTATATAATCCTCTAATTAAGAAAAAAATTCAATTATAGATTTAATGGAAAGAAAATTCAATTTATTATTTGCCGAATTCACTCTGTTTCATTTACTTCGTATATAAGCAAGGATATATATATGTATATATATAAAATGAGAAGGTAAACTGTAATATTATGGATTTTTTCTAGTCCGGTTTATAATATTTGGTATAATTGATTAAATGTGTATATGTATGTAGGAGATGTACTAAGGATAAGAACTCGGCGGGAAGGAAATAGTGCAATTAGGTTAAGAAAAATTCCTTAAGAGTGAGAATATTCCCACAGCCTGATTTCTCATTATGTTCATAACTTATTCATAGATTTTTAATAAATTTATCCTTTTAATCTTCTCTTTCTCTTTATCTTACTCTTTCTTTTTCATATAATCCTCTAATTAAGAAGAACAATCAATTATAGATTAAATGGGAAGAAAATTCAATTCAATTTATCATTTGCCGAATTCACTGTATGCCAATTACTTTGTATATAAGCAATGATATATATATACATATGTGGAAAATGAGAAGGCAAACTGTAATAATCTAGATTTTCCTCAGTCTTATTTCTCATACTTGGTATGATTAATTAAGTGTGTTTATGTACGTAGGGAGATGTACTAAGGATAAGAATTCAGTTTATAAAAAACGGGAAAGAAATAGTAAAATTCGGCTAATAGAAATTCCTTAAAGTTATAATATTCCCTCAAAGAAAAATTCAATTTTTCTGACCACTAAACAATTTTGAGGTCATAACAATGTCTTAAGAGTTTAAAAAGTACTTTTGGGAAGTGAGAAAAGTTTTCGTATAAGCAATTTGGGAAAAAACCAAGAAAAATTAAGAGGCATGTAGAGAAATTTATAATGACTTGTTGTTTTAGGCCTCATGGGCTTAGCTGTGCCTAAGGGAGTAATGGGCTCTATCTGAGCTCAAATTGGATAGCAAGTACCTAAAAGATAAATAAGGATGAGAAAACAAGTAGAAAAATAGAGAATAATTTACAACAAACATGAAGAGGTATGAAGAAATAGTGACAATTTCTTAGATGAAGTGGTATGATAAAATGGTGGTAACTTTTTAGATGAAGTGATATGGTAAAAAAATGACAACCTTTCTTATCCAACTCTCTTGGCTCACCACTTCTATAAATAGGAGATGGGGGAATGAAGGAAAAATCATTTTTGGTGGAAGAGAAAGAGAGAGAAACAGAGAAGTGAGGGAAAAAGAAAAAGTATGAAATATGTGATTTTACGAAAGTTTTGCGAGGGTTTTGAGATAAAAATATTGAAAAAACTCTATTAAATTTGTGGAAAAAAAAAAAGAAAAAGGAAGAGAAGAGGAAGAAGGCTCACGACCAAAAGAGACCATAAAATGTGACAAATAAAGTGATCAAAATCATCCTAGAATTTTAATGTGTGTATACATAAAGCAATAAATAAAAAAAAAAAAAAGTTGCTTACGACCTAAGGTAAGTAGATATTGTGATGTTGTGGCTTATATAATTTTGAAGTACTTTTTAATGTATTTTTAGTATAAATAAATGTGTAATTGGGTATTATAGATTCATTAGCCTATATAATTTTGAAGTATTTTACGTATTTTTAGTATGAAAAAAACATGTAAGTAGATTTTATTTTATTATAGCCTACATACTTTTAGAAAATATTTTATGTGTGTTGTTATTTGTGCTAAGCACGTATTTATTAAGTTTTACTTCGACATAAGGGTTATTTCTCTTTTTGCTTTCAACATATAATTTTGATATGTGTACATCACTCATTATGAAAATTAATCGTTCCAAAAATATCTGCATTAAGTTACGTTTCAGTGTGTCTATATGTGTTCCGTGTTCGGGTGGTGTTGACAAATTGATGAGTGTGTGCTCATACATGTTATTGCGTATTTGGGTGTAATAAAAAATCAGTATGATCTACTACATTTACTGTTCCACGTTTGGGAAGTAATAGTGTTTTAGAGCACTCATATATATCATTCTGCATTTGGGTGCATGGGGAACCAGTAATAAGTATGTTTGTCTATACATGATGTATGGTAACTGATCGGTTTGCTATAATAGCGATGAAGTCTAGTCCATTATACTATTTAACAATTATTAATTTGTTTTCTGATTTGTGTATTTGTTTTCTGATTCATATATATGTTCTTTTATTCCAATATTCATTTTCTGATTCGTATATTCATTTTTTATCCGTATATCTGTCTTCAAGAAATATATACGACATATATTTTTGTTATGTGTAAAAATTATATATTACATATATTATGATGTGATTTCATAATATTACTTAATGAGATATTATATCTCATTCTTCTATCATCCTTCAGATATCAAAAATACCATTATAGAGCGACTGATGATACGGAGAAAAAATTTTTAAGGCAGGCCCTGAGATTAAGGTTATTATTTTTTACTTTTATTTTGTAATATAAGAAAGAAAACTTAGAGTCTCATATCATATGTTTTTGTTTTATGTTCAGGGAATGTAACGCTTATATGACTTTATTATGATTAATAAAATAGTTATTTTATTTGAATTAAATAATTCTGCTCTGATCATTGCATTATAAGACAAGATGTGGTTCATGACGTAAGCTCCTTATCTCAAATAGTTTTTGAGATTATTTAATTGGTTTGCACAAATAATTTTGAAAACTTTTTTTTATCTTTATTTATTTGGTAGAAAAATTATGATATAACATTTTTACATAGTTT